TTATCTCACCAATCAAATCATATTCGATGGATTCCCAGGTGTCCACTGCGGGCCCATATCTCTACTACACATAATACGAGACTAATTCTTTATTGAGAGCTGCTGGACCTCTGAGTGGAACTGAGTCCCCATCCTTGGGCTCAACCTAATGCACTCACTGTTAGAACCTAGGGTCCGATCAAGATGCTCTTCGTGTTCGGGACGTAACAGAAACCACGGGCCAATGGAATCAGGCACTGGGAAATTTGGCTGCAGGTACCGGAGCAGTTGGGACCGGTGCAGAACGCGACGTTAGACGTGGCAGACAGGCAGTTGGTGCCGGGCGCGTTGATACAGGCGGACCCACCGTTGTAGGTGGTGCACGGGGCGCCACAGACGTTGCCAACTCGGTTCTGGCAGTAAGTCACGAGGGTGACATCGGCCGCCCGGGTAATGCTATCGTTGGACGCCGTCGCCGGAATCTAGAAGAGCGGGTTAATATGGCAGAAGAGTAGGGACACCCTACGAACGTCGGCGGCGCACTGTGGGCAGGGACATCAGTGAGGCCCATTGGAGAGCACGTCAAAACGTACAGCGAGGGCAATGCTGGTGAGCACAGTAGAGTAGAGAATGGCAGATCGCATCTTTTGGGGAAGATGCTTTCTGCTCTCTACTCCTCCTCCTTATATACATTTTTCCAGGTTAAATGGGCTGAAAACAGAACTGCCTTCGCCATCTCCCAATCTCCGAATTCTTACCCACCTGCCGGCATTGCGCACAAGTCCCTTACGCCATTTGCTAAGTGCTTCCTACTGCAAGCCTCCGAATCCGGTTTCATGTATTTTCAATCTCGGGACCAGCTAGGTCAGAACTAGTCGGACCCGAAGAGGAACAGATAACATTCCCCGGCAACATCAAGGCCCCGAAGAATCTTCTTCACTTACGTAGAGCCTTTGAGCACCTGGGAGAAGAGCTATAACATCATTAACATGCGCTATCGACGGAGACGTTGCAGGTTAACATTGGATGTGGCGTAAACTGTGTTGAACCTCCCTGTAATCGCAGTCTGACTACCTGGTCCGAGCTCTGTCTACGTCCGGTAGGCCAGGCGAGTGGTACGTTAATTTCGTTTTTCCTCCCCCGTCGTCATGCGAGCTTACTCGGCCCCACCATATCGCAGTCGGTACGGTGCTGGGTTGACGGACTCAATTATCCGTTTGTTTCGGTGTTTTTTTCAGCTCATGAAATTCTGCACACCTATATAGCCCTAGAAAGCACTGTAGTAAGATGTGGAGATGTATCTTATCTCCACCTCTGATTTAAGTCACACCTAATGGGTAGCTTCAGACGTGTGGTGCACCCTAGGGGCCTCGATAGGACACTTGAAATGGAAGTGCGATACTAGGGGGAGTGTAATGAGTTCGCCGCCACTTCACGATTCCTTATGCATCTCATTAATTCTTCAAGCCCATCTCAACCGACTTCTCGAACTTCCAGATCTAGGATGGTACATAATGATTATGCGCCTGCACCCAACCTCGTATACCGCAGCGTCTCGACCAAAGGTTCAGGTGACGGGTGACAGAGGGCCCTGAGCGAATAATTTTGGCGCTTGTGACGGTGACGGCGGGCCAGTGGTCACCTTAATTTTTCATGCTTTCAAAGGGCATTAAAGTCGTTTTTGAGCTACTCGGAATTCAACAAAAAAGAAAGTGCGAAAATATGACAAAGAAATCTAGTGCTCCTCCCTGGTAGCGCCGCGTGACGAATTTGAGATACTGGCCACGGCCCAGGACCGCAGATTCTGCCTCCGATTCCTCAGTAATCCCTCCTGCCGCACCAACAGCGAAATTGACGGCGAGAGACCCACTCGAAAGAAGATGGTCCGAAACGACGTCGAGAGGTACGTTGACCGGGTTTAAATTTCTCCTGCTCTTCCCTCTGCCCGATCCGGTATTAAGTAGACAGTTAGACCATTAAACACGCCTCAAGTACCCGAATGCAACGGAGCGCAGCCCATTCATCATCTCTTCAATAATTTTCAGTGCCTTCTTGAACCCCATGCGTGCGCGAATCGCCTTTGGCGAGCTTCAGTACTGTCAGGCAAGTATGGACCTGCATTGGCGCAGTCCTGGCAAAATGAACTATTTCCAAGCCAGTGACGGCCTCGGCCGACCTCTGAACACCGTAACCAATGAACAATTGAGATGACGGGTGACACCCTGTGAACTTTGGTCAAAACGCTAAAGTAATGGAAGGACGACAGCAATGGTGGGGGGATTCGAATAGGGCTCCAACCATTTCCGTTTGAAACCGGTGTCAAACGGTTTTAACCGTCTTTATTTTCGTTTGATTTGCTGGCTGGGCCAAACGGTAAACGGTTAGCAAACAAACGGTTCAAACGGTTTTGAACAACTGACCAACTGAACACAGTTATTGGAATTTGTTTGGGTCTCAACGAGATTCAAAACGGCGAGAAATGTTGGTCCCATTGAATTTTGGGCCAAAATAACCGAGGTGTTGAGGCTGTGGCGAGGTCAATGGCGGCGCTGGGCGGTATCCCAATTGGGAATGATCGCCGCGATTGACGGCGGGAGCGCACCTCTGCACAAGGGAAGAAAACAAGGAAGGCTCGTGCACTTTTAAATCTATAAAATTGGAGCATACCACTGTGGAGAAGAGCTGGGGGGATTTTCAGGTGAAAACAGGTTCGTTCACCCCGTTTGTTCATTTTCCCTGCCAAAAAACCGTTTGAAACCGGATATCAGAAGGACGGATACCGTAGTATTTCGTTCAATTCTAACGCGCTGTGACCTGTGACAGAAAAATTAGAACTTTGAAGTTCTAAAATCGGCTGAGAACTGTGTGACACTTTTTTTCTTCCTTATATCAAGAGAAAAGTTGGAGAGCCTCTCAAAAGTCGACTCACGATTGCTGCCCCAGGGACCACAATGTTTTTGACAAGCCACGGATGAGGGGAAGATGGAAGGAGTGTACTTCCGCTTTAGTTCCACTCACGTCAAAAGCGGCATTTTGTGTGAACCCCTTGGTGCCATCGACTACCACTCATCACTGCTGCACCGCAGAGCAAAAATGGGCTTTTTTGAGCATTTTTCAGCCATTTTGTGACCTCTTTGGCATATTCTAATATGCCCTTGGTGACCCGTGACAGGTAAGAAAAAATTCTTATATTTTGGGTCCTGTGACGCGTGACATAAGAATTGAACGAAATGGTACAGTAGTTGCGTCAGAAATTGTGCGTCGAATGCGATAGATGGGAAGCAATGTGGCTGTGCTTTGATCCATCAGTTCAGGCTTGCCTCTTCTGTCGACGCATGTACTGGGTGATGAGTTCTTCATCGATGCACGCCTCGCCCCTCTGCCGCCAGCTCGGCGGGCTCGTCCCTCCCAAAATCGCTACCCCGCGTCTCGTCGTGCGTGTCCCGTCCCTTCCTTGTCTTCCGCCCCGTGTCCTTCCGCATTCCCTCTGCCTCCCCACCCACCTTCCCTCCTCCCTCTTCCCCTCTCCCTGTTATGATACTGACCCGCCCACCCCCAGACCGGCAACTCCGGCGCCACCCTCACCCCGCTAGTGGACTTCTACTCCAAGCTCCCCAAGGGCCCAGCCCCCGCGCGCTTCGGCGGCCTCAGAGGCCGCTTCTTCAGCGGCAAGAACGCGAGCGGCGCCCCCGTACTCGCGCTTATTGGCTGCATCTTTTTGATTGGGTATACACTCGATTATCAGCGTGCGTGTTGCTCGTTTTTAAAAGCTGGAGACTGCTGACCTATCCTCTCCTCTATCCTCCTCATACCGGTACCCGGATGGCCGCCGACAGTCCACTTCAGTGCGTCCCCTTCCCTTCGTCCCCTCCCTTCTCTGACCTCGTTTCGTCGTATCCAGAACACCACAAGAACAACGCGCACTAGATCCAGCGCTCGACGTCGACGTCGGCGGCGCCAGTGGGAGAGTGGAAGCAGTAGAATGCGATACCGTGTGTTGTTACTCTGAATTGACTTGCGCCGTGCCTCCCTCATCTGTACTGTGCGGCCCCATCCGATCCCCGTCTATCGCCGCCGTCCGTTCAACGTCTTGGCCGCATTGGCCCACGCCAACATACTCAACCTCTGCCATCTGAGTAGGCTCAATTTATCCGGTGCCCCCCTTGCCCGCCGTGTCTGCTCTGACGCGACTCGGCGTCGTTGCTCTGTCGCCACTCGGCGTCCTCGCCCCAGCGCGCTCCGCGAGCCCTCTAGTCCCCCGCCCGCGCATGCTCGGCCGCGAGCCGCCCCTTTCCCCGCACCGGCGACGCCGTCCGTGCGCAAGGGTGACTTAGGCCTCGCGACGTGCTCAGTTTAGTCGGTTCGAGTCGAGTCCGGGCCCGCGTGATGAGATGAGATGTGAGATGCTGAGGCGCCGTCGACCCGCTGCGGCTGCCGCGCTAGGATTGCGCCTTCTATGCGTGGCGCGGAGTCGCGCAGTCGTCTACATCTACTTGGTAACTGCGAGTCGCAGGCACTCGTGTGAGCGCTGCCTGCCCGCCTTCGATGCGGATGTTAAAACGATCCAGCAATCACATTCGGGCGGCTGCGTCGGCGCCAAACCGACCCTGTCTGCCCGTACAATAGCACGCTCTGACAAGTCCGCGTGGAGCAATGCAGCTCACTCCTGCAAAATAGCCAGTATTCACGACGTAGGCAGGGAGAGACGGCGGTTCGAGTCCGCCCGGGGACATTGTTTGACATGGTGTTCTTTGTGTCGTGGGACCGAGCATAGCTAGAGCTGTAGCTGTAGATCCCGCGGCGCTTTATCGATATCGATATCTGAGCGCACCGGCCCAGTTCTTCCGGTATTTCAGCTGCTCGCTAGACTTGGACTTGTAGCACAGCGGTGGATCCGGACGGCTGGGTGCTGGAGCTGGGTGCTGCGGTTACAGTCGAGCTTGGTCCTCGAGCTCTGCATATAAGTAGCCGTAACCTACATACGAGTGAGTAAAGGAAAGGGACAGAACTTGAAGGGACACGTCCTCGTGGAGCAATGCAGCTCACTCCCACAAAATACGGAATGTTGCTACTGATGCAGGGGAGAAATGGCGGTTCGAATCCGCCCGAGGACATGAACATGTTGGTTATATGACGTTGCTTTTTGCCTATTTCTCGGGGTAGCTTTCTGGTTTCTTTTTTCTCGTGTCAATGGTGGCGGAGGTCCCACGACCGGCCAGCCGTCCACTTTTTATCTTGCGCAGGTGTACGAGGTGACTCGGACGACATGGCGCGCTTAGGTTGCGCGTGCACGTGCGTGTGCTGCTCCTAGATCGCAATTCCGCCTCCGTTACAGGTCTAATTCAGACTCCTTGACCTCACCAATGCTCCACAACTTACAGTTCAAAGCAAGGAGGGTTGACGAGAAGAATGGGACTGGGACTCGCCCACTTCCTTTTTCGGTAAGCGAGTCCCATTCTTGATCCCATCAACAATGGGACTCGGCTAAAACGAGGCAAGAATGGGACTCGGCTAGCTCGGCAAATCCACCCGCCTGTCAATGTGTGACCCCTCCGCATCAAGATCAGGCGCATGAGGCGGCATGGGCGGGCAAGGGATTGATCGGTCAATGTAAATACATCAATATGACGGGTAATCCCTGGAAACAGGTGTTCGTTATTCGGACCGTGCCGTGTATGTCGGAGTTTTCATATTAGCTAAGAGTGATCGTATATTCCGCGCACAGGCGTTTTTTCTCTCAGCACAAGAATTAATGTACTGGATTTTCTGGCACCAATGTGTAGACATCTCTTCTGCACCCCCACCCCCATTTTCTTGCGATTTTCCGGGCATTTTTGAGGGCAGAACGGACGAGTTGGGCAGGAGGGCGGCAGTTTCGATGGCATTGATGGGAAGTGTCAAAAGGGAGCGCCTAGCGATGGCAGCGACGGGGGAATGATGGAACGGCAGGGCAGTATAGGTGTGTCAAAGATGCCGAATATTGCCGAATATCGGCATCGGATCATTAGGCACATTTGTGCCGTCTCATGAACCTCATCCCCTTGGGCTGCGTGACGGCGGGTCACTGTGTGATTGGCGGCGTCAGAGGAACTGATGGCGGCGGTCTCCCCAGTCCTATTTTTTCAGCGAGTCCCATTGTTGATGGGATCAAGAATGGGACTCGCTTACCGAAAAAGGAAATGGGCGAGTCCCAGTCCCATTCTTCTAGTATATACTCCAAAGCAAGAAAGGAAGAAAGAGTCCCCGTGGAGCGATGCAGCTCGCTCCCACAAAATCAGCTTGATTTGTGCCTACACAGGGAGAGGTGGTTCGAATCCACCCGGGGACATACACTGCATTCCCACCCCTGTAGACACACGTGTGTCGACGTTATCCAACATGTGGCGATATGCGGCGATCTTCAGCGACATTCGGCTACCTCCGTCTACATCATGATCTATGCCGCCCTTCGGCGGCCTTATCTGTGTCTAGGTGAGTCTACATGGGGTAGATGCACCGCATCGACCCGTCGGCTACCTGTGTTTACGTGGGTCTACGTGGGTCTACAGTGTACATGCACATAGACCCATTGACCTCAGAATGTGGATTTGGCCATCCTTGGCAAGGTAGGGTACATGTGTTTACGTGTGCCTACATGTGACTACCTGTGTCTATGTGCATCTACATCGGTCTACATGAGTGAACCAATGTAGAACTATGTAGACATGTGTAGACAGGTGTAGATAAGCTGTATCTACATGGCGTAGATACACGTAGACACAGGGGTTCATCTACCCTTTGTCTACGGGGGTAGACAGACCCTCTATCTACATGGGGTGGGAACGCAGTGATAGAGCGAGGGCGTTGTTTTTTCTTCCTTGCTTTCATGTTTTTATTTGTTCGTGGTAGCATTCCATCGCTATATTATAGGTCTCAATTCACGGCAGTCCGAGGCGCCGATTTGGTTTGTGTTGTTTTCAGACTGTGCGATATGTCGGCTCAGGGATGGGCTACGGCAATGTCGAGCTTGGCCCTCATGCTCTACATATAAGCAGCCTACATACAAGAAGGAACAAGTCCCCGTGGAGCAATGTAGCTTACTCCCAAAATATGGTGTGATGTCATGATCTATATACCGGGAGAGCTGGTGGTTTGAATCCACCTGGGGACATTAGGGACGATACTGGCTTTTTATTCATTTCTCATGGTAGCTTTTTGGTTTCTTTTTTCTCGTGTGAATAGTGGCGTAAGTCCCGCAACCGGCCAGCCGTCCAGTGTTTTCCTTTTCTCTTGCGTAGATGTACGAGAGGTGACTTGGACGACATGGCGCGCTTAGGTTGCACACTGTGCATGTGCGTGTGCTGCTCCTAGATCGCAATTCCGCCTCCGTTACAGGTCTAATTCAGACTCCTTGACCTCACCAATGCTGCACAACTACGGTTCAAAGCAAGAAAGGAAGAAAGAGTCCCCGTGGAGCGATGCAGCTCGCTCCCACGAAATCAGCTTGATTTGTGCCTACGCAGGGAGAGGTGGTGGTTCGAATCCACTCAGGGACATAGAGCGAGGGGCTCAATGTTTTTTCTGTCTTTCTTTCTTTCAGGTTTTTATTTGTTCATGATAGGACATTATTGATCATGACAAGGAGGATTTTTTTTTGTGGCAGCGCGTTAGCCGGATCAAGTGGTGATTTTCCTTTGCTTACTCACCACAACTTCTTCGTGACTTGGGTTACAGGCCTCCTGCGCTTGTATCTTCTCTTTTCTTGGTTGGATTTGTGGCTCTAACACACCGTTCTGGGACTCATCTGGGACTGGCTATCCCCTTTGTCTCCTGCTTCGAGTGCATCTCAAGTGCATCTGCCAACGCTCACTGTGATTTACGTCTAACTAGTTCTGCTCACCTCCTCGCCATTCCAGACTCCTGATCCTCCAACAACGCGTCGCAGTTTTTGCGCCCCGCACCGGCCGTACAGTACGTCTGGCCCGAATTCAATGAATCGCGTACCGACACGGACGAATTGATGAGGTGTTGGTGCAATGGCGGACTCTTACTCACGAGAAAGGCCAGTGCAGCTCCGACTTCCTGGTGCCGAATACAACACTCTGATCTGCGGTCAAAATTCTGGCTTCGACATCGGTAACTTTGGGACCCGAATGCCTCGTTCTCTTCCGAGTGGCCAGCACCAGGGATCTCTCAAGTTCCTTAGCGGAAAATCTCCATCTGGGGACTCCAGTTTTGTTTCCGCAGCCTCCCAGTACTTGACCTTTGACTTGCCGTTGACGAGTGAAGCTACTGGTCCGCGAATGCTGCTTTGCCAAGTATAAGGCCCAATCACCAAGCCCGGTTCTCGCTCATCCCCCGTTCGAAATCCACATATACTTTTTGATCATTATTGATGTGCAAACAGGAGATACGTGCCGCCCCCAGACGATATAAAGGCTGGTGTCCTTCCTTTTTTGGCAATCATTCATCCTTAATCTTTTCTTTTTGTCCTAGCACTCATCTGATACCCCAGCCAGTGACTTCACATGAGAAAAAGTCCTCGTAAAATACTGAAGCTCATTCCTGCCTGTAGAGGAAAGATGGTGGTGGTTCGAATCCACCTGAGGATGTGGCAGTGTAGTTTCGGACCGCATCTTTTCCATTTCTCTCTCGCACTATCCATGCTGGTCTCCTTCACCGTTGCATCCCACTCCGCTAAACCGTTCTCACTACCCCAGGCGGGCTGGCACACCCCAGATGGGTTTTTCGCCACCGCGTGCACAGACCAGCTGCCCAGCATGCCAAGGCAGGCGAGATCCTGCAATATTCCCTTGGGCCGGCGCTGGGAAGGCACACAGGCACCGATACGAACAAAATGTGCTTTCTCGTCAACTCAACCACCTCTTGGTGCGATGTCGTGCTTGGCTTAGAGGTTCCATATAATTTGTCCATGGATACGACGATCTGTGATATCGTGCCGAGCCCAAACGGCTTCATTTTGACGCTGCTGGACGCATACATGCAGGACCTACCAAGTTTAACATCTAGAGGCCTGAGTCATCTAAAGACCAGAGTCCTCGTGGAGGAAAGGGGCTCGCCACTGCGGAATAAAAAATCAGATCGATATGGGAGTGCTGGTGGTTCGAATCCACCAAGGACTTGTGCGTGGGTTGACCCTTCATTTTTAGGATCAGTTCGATTTTGTGGTTGCTTGAGTTTTGGTTTCGTCCTGTGCGGGGTGCTAAGTTTTTTTCTGGGTTCCAATGCATGTATAACACACTTCCAAGAGAAGGTAACAAGAGAAACAAATATCTAGCTAGAAGCAATTAGAACCTGGATTACTTTGCAAACTGAGACTCTTTGCACCTATCCTCTATTCCAGGTCTATTCTCCAAGGAGCTTAGGTATCCAGGAAAGAGTTGCAAACAGCCGGCGTTTCGGTTTTGGTTGCTTATGGCTTTGGGTCCCGAAGCCGGAGCGAAGACAGCGGAGATTCGGGCCAAATTGACCGATATCTTGCAGAATATACAAATGCCAACACCGTCCCCTTTGCTTCAAAAGTCCATCATCGTTGCATAAGCTGCGCGTAAGAGCTCTTCCCTCCAAGGCTTGTGCCTATTGGATCTAATCACTCGTCGGCTTCATATGCAGGAACATCCACCAATAATAACTTGAACACCGTGTAAGCATGTTAGGGATCCCCACCGTACTGTAAAGGCTTTCGGGCCATACGGTACGATTACGGACTGTATCGTATACCGTAAAACACGGTATATACAGTGACCGGTCCATTTAACGGTGTCCAGAGAGGATAAAACTAGCCCTCGTTTGCTTAAGCAAACTACGTTGAGACGGGCCGGGCCGGCTTAAGCCGCTTAAGCACGCCTCGAATGTCGTATATAGTACCTATTGTACCGCTAAGTTAGTTATTGTGCTTAATCTGCTTAAGCCGGCTAAGCTGCTCAAGTGCCATCACTGCAAACACAAAGACCACTCAAGCTAACTGCAAGTGATGAAACCTGCTTAAGCACGCCAAGCTGCTTAAGCAAAGCCAAAGCATGAAGTCGTTCAAGCAACCCGGACACCGAAGCAGGTGCCGGGTTAGGCAACTCGCCAAAGCTAAGTGTAGTCCCGGTCTTGTCCAGGTTTGGCA